GTCGACCTGCACCCCGCTGCTCGAACACGCCGCCTCCCTGGCAGGCGTGTCGCTCGCGCTGTGGCACGCTGTGCATGCTGTGAAGTGACGTGCTGTGCCTGCTGTGGCCCGCTGTGCCTGCTGTGCAGTTCATGGATGCCATCAACCGCAGGGTGGCCATGCAGAATGTGAGAGCTGCCGCTGTAGCGTTGGATTGTTCTGGCTGGCGGGGCAGGGCCGTGTTGCGGCTTGCAGGGCCGGGCGGCAACTGTCTGGGCTGTGCCGCTGCTGTGTCCCGGCTTCCTGCCAACTACCTGCCGGGAGGCGGCGTCTGGACAAGCTGCCTGCCGCTGAGTGCCTTTGCTCACCTGCCACCTGATGTCAACACATCCCTTGCGCCGCCCCCTGCAGCTCTTCTGCTTCGCCAAGGAGTATGCAGAGCTGCAGTTCATCTTCCTGACGCCACAGGTGGGTGGCAGGAGAGGAGGAGAGGAGGGCAAGGCACCCGTCATTCTGTGGGTGGCTGTGCTGTGCGGGTGTTGCCTGCCGGCTCGGCCCGCGGCGCTGCTGCCTGGCCTCCCCGTCCCCTGCTGCCCCTTTACCCGCGAACCGCGGCCCATGTCTGTCGCCCCCCCCGCTCACCCGCCACCCTCCCTGCCCCTGTCCCTCCTCGTCGCTGCGCTGCGCCATTCCCGCAGGACATCAGCGCTGTGGACGACGCGCGGCAGGCCTGCCAGCAGCAGGGCCACGAGCTGCCCGCCGGCTTTGTGCGCGTCATCTCCATGCGCCCGCCCCGCGCCAACGCCACCCGCGTGCAGTAGTGCAGCCAGAGCTGGGCGGCTGCCCATGGCGACGTTAACGCGCCGGGCTGCTCTCCTGAAACTTACTGAAGTTCTAGCAACCAGACTGAGATTGTGGGTACTGTGGGACTTGACTTCTTACTTGGCGCGGTGCGGATGTGCCGCTACTGGCGGCGCGGTCACCGCACGGGCGGTGCTGCCGCTTGCCTGTGGCGCACGGGGGCTGCGGCTGCCCTCTTAACATGCTGTGCTTCCTGCTGGTGCCACGCGGCTCTGTAACAGCCTCGGCTCTCAGAATCAGTCGCCTAAACTGTGGAGGGAAGCCAGATGCAAGGAGGAAGCTGTTGGGTAGTTGTCGCTGGCGCCCACCACGTGCGTATCTCCCTGGGCGGCATGAAGACGAACTTGCACGGGGCGACAACGACTTTACTCTATTAATCATCCCCGGGGAGCAAACAGCCAACCCCTGCATACCTCCGTCCCCCTGCACACCTCCGCCCAGTCTATTCACCTGCGCCGCGCACAAACACAGCATGCGGGCTCTGGTCATTGTCTTCGCCGTCGCTGTAGCGCTGGGAGGTGAGCAGGGGCTCCCGCCCGTGGGCCTTGCACAGGGCGGCGCCGCTCGGCGCCGCCAGCCGGGCTGCCGGCTCCCGCACCAGTGCCGCTGACCGAGGAACGCCCACCTGTTCGTCTGCCTGCTGCAGGGGCTCACGCCTGGGACATCATCCATCTCGACCCCCAAATCTTTTGCACAGCCAAAAGCTCTGGCTGCAAGTGCTCCGTGTGCCAGCTGTGCGGCAAGTTCCCCATCACCAACAAGCCCCGCTGCCTGAAGTGCGCGCCGGGCTGGCGCCTCAACAAAGCCGCCGGCGTGTGCGTCAAGTGAGTTTCCCGCCTGCTGCGCTGCAGCTGCTGCCCGGCACACCCGGCTGCATGGCGGCATCGGGCACTCGGCTTCCTGCCCACCTGCCGTGGCACCGAACGCCGCCCCTGGCCTGCCGCCCCCGCGTCGCCGCAGGTGCAAGCGCGCACACTGCGTCAAGTGCAACGCCGCCACGCTAGAGAAGTGCCTGCAGTGCAAGGAGGGCTACAAGCCCAACGCCAACGGCGTGTGCAAGCCGTACTGCGTAGAGGGCAAGGACGGCTGCGCCAAGTGCACGACGCAGGGGTGAGCACCCGCGTTCCTGCATGGTGCCGCGCTGGCGGGCAAGCGCTGCCGGTTGCAACGGTTCAATTGAAGCTGCCCCACGCCTGCGCCAGGCTGCTTGGGAGAGTGCCATGATGCCTGCAGTAGCCCCGCCGCTGGAACCCACCCTGCCGCGCTGCTGGCTGCCGCCCCCGTCATCCGCAGGAACAAGAAGTGGTGCAGCCTGTGCCAGGAGCCCTCCTTCATCCAGGGCCAGTGGACCATCTGGTACCCCTCCCCCTACAACACCTGCCACAAGGTGGGCTGCCGCTCAGCTAGGACCCTTTGCCCTACACAGGGACTGCCGGTGGCCTGTCGTTCCCCGCAGCGGTACTGGCACCTGTGCTGACCGCCCATGCGCCCCCTCACTTGCTCCTCTCCCTGCAGTGCGCCATCCACGACCCCTCCTGCCACATGTGCGACGTCACTTGCACCAAGTGCGTGCTCTGCGACGACCCCGGCAACAACGCCATCTGCTGAGCACCACAACCGTGCGCAGCTTTGCCGTAGCTTGCACACTGTCGACTTCTCCACTTTCCCTGATTTTCTGATTCCATTCATGCTTTTCACTCGGTACATGTACATCAATCCATCGACCGGTGCAAAATGTTGAGATGAAGAGTGTTGACGGCGGACGGCGGCGCCCCCTGCGGCCACTGGGGCCCGCTTTGCCTCCAATCGGTGGTGCCTGCACGAGGCAAGCCGCAAGTCAGGACCTCGCGGCAATGCTTTTACTCCTTCGTACCTGCACCTACCAATGAGCGATGTGTCACCTTGCACGACTTGTCATGATGTGGCTGCAAGCACGGCCGGCGGTGGCGGTGGTGGCAGCGGCGGCGGCGCTAGTTGCCGAGAGGGCACTGGCTGGCTGCCAGGCGCTACATTGCACTGCATCCCAATACATTCTGCCAAATGGCTGCAAATTTGCCAATGCAGGCATGGAGGCTCCATGGAGACGTCATGGGCGCCCCTTGTAGAGCGACACGTGCGCGCTGTGGACGGACGGGGGGGCAAAACTCGAGATGCGCCTCCTGACCCTAACACAGTGCCGCAGGGCACTGCAGCACTCCGAAAGCCACGCAAGCGCTGAGCGGCCCCAGCAGCCTTGTCTTGGCACCAAGCGGTCGCTTGTGCTCACCCGCCCCCAGCGCGGCCTCAGATGCTGGAGAATTGGCTGCACGACGCCTTTCGCCGGTGCGCCGAAGGGGGCCAGAGGGTGGGCAGACCGGTGCTCTCGACCCGTCTCGCGATAACCGGTGTTGGCGACAGGGCAGCACGGGTTTGGGTTCCTGTGCCAATGCGGAGATGGCGAGGGGATGCGCCAGCAAGCCGCCGCCTGTTGTGCCCGGTCCCCCCTTGCGCCCGCCTTGGCGCCCGCCTTGGCGACCCGCCGCCGCTCCTGCGTCCCGTGCAGGCACTACAATGAGCAGGCGGCGGCATCCGACCTGCTGGGCATGCACAGCCTCACCGTGCTGCGCCTGATCCTCGTTGTCCTCAAGACATGGTGGCGTGATGGCCAGCCAGGTGAGGCGCATCGTGGATGGAGGCAGCTGGCAGGCGTCGCGCACTCTTCTTCAGCCTCTGCCGTTGCCCCCAGGCAACCCGGCTGCTCACACACCGCATGTGCCCCGCGTCCCGCAGGCCTGGCGCTGCGCCACGGCTCCCTGGCGCTCTCCCTGCAGGCGGCCGCGCTGCTGGTCAGGCGGCAGCGCCACATGCATGTGCGGTGGCGAGAGCCTATCCTGACCGCCCTGCTCGTCCATGCCACCTGGGGCGCCCTGGGCCTAGGTGCGCTGCGCTGCCAGGAGGGAGGGGCCTGCTTAGCGACATGCCTGTCGCAGTAACACAGCATCAACCCTGGCTGCCCAGCAGCCACCACGTGCAGCCCACCATCTGCTCCTCCGCCCCGCCCCATCCCTGCAGCCCTGGATGGCATGCCTGACCTGTTTGTGCAGCAGCGCGGCGGCAGCTCGCTGCTGCTGTTTGCCGCGCTTCAGCTAAGCAGCTCTGCTGTGATGCTCACCCTGTTTTCCTGCTACGCACGCATGCTGCTGCGCTGGAACGTGCTGGCCCTGCCCCTGGTGGCCCTGCTGCCGGTGAGCAGGCTGCATTGCTGAAGCTTGCTAGGCGCTGGACAATGCTTGGGGAGGGGTCAGGCGCTAGCGCTGTGGAAAATAGGGCAGGAGCGGTGCTACATGCCCCTCAATCCCATCCCTCCTCATGCAGCTGATGCGCAGCGGCGACGTTTGCCGCAAAGCTCTGGACGCGCCCGGCGCCGAGGAGCACGTGGCAAGCCTATACAGCGCATTTGGAGCAGTGCAGTGAGCCCCCTGCTGCTGCCGCTGCCGCTGAATGCTGGCGTGGCCAGGCCACTGCTGGTGCCGCCGCTGCTGCCGCCGCTGGTGCTGCTGTTGGTGCTGGCCCAGATGTTGAACACCCGCCCAAGCCGACCTGCTTTGGTGTGCTCCTCTGCCCCTGCTGCAGCAGCGCAGCGGTGTTCCCAGCCACATCCATAGTGCTGAGGGACACAGACGACCCAATGCAGAAGTGCCTTGCGGTGAACGCATGGTCCCTGCTGCTGCTGGGGGTGCTGCTGCCGCTCTACCTGGCGTTTAGCTTGGAGCGCCGAGCGCGCGCCCGGTTCTACGCCAGCCACCAGTGGCGGCAGGATGACAATGCTGCACGGCGCGACACGGCACTGAGCCCGCTTCCGGCGTTGCTGCTTTGGCAGCCGAAGCCTGTGTCGCCAGCCTCTCAGCCAGGGCCGCTGTGGCTCAATCTCTACCTCGCCAGCTGTGCGGTGTGGACGGCGGTGTCTGTCTGTCTGTCTGTTACACCCATAAGGAGCAAATGAATGCTACGGGCCCAGCTGTGGTGCAGCAGCTGGAAAGGTGAAGGCACCATACACAAACGGGGAGAGAGAGAAGGGGGGGGGGTGGGGTGGGGT